TGTACACTTCGATATGTATACGTTGATACATGGACACAGTGTGTAATGATCTAATAAGGGTAACTAGCATATTCATCCCTGCAAACATTTATCATTACTTGGTGCTGAGAGTATCAAACTCCTCTCTTCCAGCCATTTGAAAATATACAATAAATTATTGTTAGTTATGGTCTCCAAGTACTATTATAAAACACTAGAACTTATCCTTCTTATCTATCTATAATCTTGTTTCAAGTTTGTTTTACCCACTTATTACTGTATTGGTATATATATTTTGAGTGAATATATGCCAGATCATAATTCTGCCAAATACACAATTACCAATTTATAAAATAATTTATTTAACTAGACTTCAACAATTATCAATAACTTTTTACTCTGCCTTCCCTAAGTGTAATTTGTCTCTGCTTTCAGCTTTACATATCTCTTTTCTTCATGTTTATTGGATTTGGGTTTAGAATTTTATGGTATTTAATTTCCTCCCATTGTCAACTCTCCTAACTATGATGTGCCTGTCCCACAAGAAATCTGATTTTCAGTTTGGATTCCAAATTACCTTATTTTAAAATTCTCTTTTCCAAATGAACTGAAAGGAGAGATTAAAAATCAGATCCTGCCTGTTAATGACATACACACACACATACACATACACAAAACCCCCAGAATTTCCTAAATTAGTCTGCATCACCTTGGCTAAAAACATCTTTTCTGGAAGTTTAGAGTCCTGGAGTGTTTAAAAGCCTGGCACAGAAGCAGTTAACTGAACAGGTTTCCTATTGTACAATGCCCTACCATTTATTCAGAACAGTTTTAATTCAATTCAGCCTTATTTGTGGTCTATAAATGTGAATTGGAGAGCTTCTTAGGTGTAGAGTTTATTAATCATTTGATTACAACCATTTTATTATATATATTCAGCACTAAAAAAGAAAACCTTTCACATAATTTAATTTCTTTGCCTGCAAAATGATAGAGTTGGCCTATCTGATGCACACATTTTAGAATTTATTAAAAACATACATTTCTGTTGATGGTTATACAGAGCAATATCCCAGAATCCAAAAAAAGGTGGCTTTGCCCAATTAAATCAAATGTGGAGGATGATTGGAGATGATAGACATTTACTTACTATGAAAGGAAATCATTTTTTTAAAAACATTGAAGTGAGAAATAAAAAGACTCCTTTTCTTTTTGCCTTACCTGGGATTTATATTTGATATTAAAAGTTCCCATGTTATTTTATTTATTTTTAGATAAACTAATCCATTTTATACTTACTGTTCATTTATATTAGTTTATCTTCTCATATAACATGGATGCATTCTGCTTTTCACATTTGTTTCTTCAAATTCACTCACAGTCTCTCTTAAGTTCCTCTCTTTTGATTCAACACATGATTCTTCCAGCATATAAAACTTTTCCATGTCCCCCACTATTCTATTCCTTTGTATCTCAGAACTTTATGGTCAATAGGCTTTGCAGACAAATAGGATTCTTTTTTAATTTAATTAATTTATTTATTTATTTATTTATATTTCCTTTAAATTTTTATTTTGTCAATATACTATATAGTTTATTATTATGGCCCATCACAGAAACCTCCCTCCCACCTCCCTTTCCCCCCTCCCACCCAAGAATATCCTTTCCGTTTGCTTGTTGTAACAACTTCAAAAAATTGTAGTTGTTATATCTTCCCCCCCCCCGGGTTTTTTTTGTGTGTGTGTATGTGAGTAAATTAATTAATTTATTTTTAGCTCCCACCAATAAGTGAGAACA